TTTCATCATGAAACAAAATAATTCTAAAATATGAACCAAAGACATTTCCTGGATGTGGGAGTATCAACCGCAAGAATATCGCTAGAGACAAGAGCATAAATGATATACTTGGTAGACTTATACTTCATACTGTTACGGATATGGGAATGGGGCAGGGCAATAGGGTTGGGAAAATATACAGGGGTGATCTTAAGCGCTTACCATCTGGAAGAAAAATAGCAGATGTAAAGGAAAATTCAGAGAACCACTCAGTGCTGCATTTCTCTTAAAAAATATTTTTTTAATTGATTTTTAGAGAGAAGGAGGAAGAGGAGAGAAACGAACATCAATGTAAGAGCAATTGCAGATACCTGCTCTGCCTCCTGCACGCCCCTATTGGGGATCAAGCCCTAAAACCTGGGCATGTGCCCTGACCAGGAATAGAACTGGCAACTTTTCAGTGCACAGGACCAAGCCCAACCAGCTGAGCCACAATGACCAGGGCAGTGCTGCATTTTCTACAAAAGAGCTTCAGTGGCACAATTCAGAGAATGAAGCAATCTGGGCAGGATCTGGACAGGCAGAAAGGAGGAGGAGCATGAAAATGAGAGAACAAGACAAGGCTGGGCATCAGAGGATGGGAAAGTACACATAACTGTAGGGGAGTGAGGAAAATTAACTGAACTAGAAAGTAAGCAGAATATGATGGTAACTGGAGAAAAGACAGGAGAAAACAGAGCTAAGCCTGAAAGCAAGGCAAGAATTTGGACTTGAGCCCTGGCCGGTGTGGCTCCATTGGTTGGGCGTCATCCAGTGCATCAAAAGGTTGCCAGTTCTATTCCCAGTGAGGGCACATGTCCGGAGCTGTGGGGTCAATCCCCGGAAGGCGGGGGTGCAGGAGGCAGCCCATCGATTTTTCACTCTCACATCGATGTTTCTCTCTCTCTTCCTTCCTCTCTAAAAATATAAAAATCTTTAATAAGATTTTGGACTTGCCCTATCCAGTTTCACTCAGTGGATAGAGAGTCCCCTCCTGGGTTCGATTCGGGTCAAGGGCACGTACCTTGGTTGCAGACTCCTCTCCGGCCTGGGCCCTGGTTGGGGCTCATGCAGGAGGCAACCAATTAATGTGTTTCTCTTACATCAATGTTTCTCTCTGTCTTTCCTTCTCTCTTCCACTCTCCCTAGAAATCAATGGAAAAATATCCTCAGGTGAGGATTAACAACAACAAAAAGATTTGGACTTGAAAAATTAACTGGGAAAAAAATGGCACTGTAAGTTCTGAAAACTGGAGAATAGAGCAATAATGCTGAGTTTTAATGTGGCTGCATATTATTTTATAACAGGATATGTATAAAGTACATAAAATGGAATAGGAAACTTGCAGGAAGGCAGACCAGTTAAGAGAACAATAAAAACAATGCATATATAAAGTAATATGAGTGATGGCACTAGGGACAGAAAAGAAAAGGTTATTCTAAGGATCATTTTGATGGAAAAAAGATAGGATTCTGTGGAAAACAAAATAAAAAAGGTCAAAATAGAGAAGAATCAAAAATTATTCCCAAGTCTCTTGCTTAGGAAACTGATCAACCAATTAGTGATAGACCAAAAGAAACAAGATAAATCAATAACTCTGAGTAAAAGACAATTTTTTTTCATGAATATTACATGCATGTAAGTATCACATCAAAAAGTAAACCTTTTCTATTCCAATATTCCACAAAGTCTTCAAGATATTGGATGAATAGCATTTTTCTAGTGTAAAATTTATAAAAATCAATTTATCAGAAGTGTTTTCAGTTTCACTTCCATAGAAAACCTGACATGACACAAAGACTTCTATTATTCTAACAGTGCTGTAAAAAGTTATCTTAAAAAGGTAATGAAACTGAAGATTAGTGGTGAAATTTTGAATAAAAATTAATATTTTATTATATTCATAATAAAAGTTTCCACCTACTCCATTTAGTCATCAAAACTGTGATTTTAAATATAGGAATACCTACAGTGACATTTCATAATTATCCCATCGTCTTTAAGCAAGTATACTGCAGCTGACAAAGAGGAAGAGCAGTATCCATGGCTAACAGTACACCAATTATATATAGAACAGCAGAGAAGCATAAAATGGAAATACAAAAGTAAAATGTTATTGGTAAACTCTTTCCTCACCTTTAAAGAATTACCTTTAAGACCTGTGATCACACCACTCAAAAAGTTGAGGCAGATAATGAGACAGAGCCCCAATGTGTGGAAAGAAAATACACACGAGGTTTGATTTTTCAAATTTTATATTAAACTGGCCTATAATATTCCTTCCTCACACTCTCTTTATCTGTTTTTTGGAATCAAGGTTATACTACTGGCCTCATACAATAAATTGGAGGAGATAATCCAACTTTTTCTGTTCTCTGAGTTTGTAGAAGATTAAATGATCTATGTCTTTAATGTTTGGCAGAACTCACTCTTAAAACTGTATCAAGTGTTTTCCTATTAGGAAGACTTGCTTACTGACCAATTTCTTTAAGAGTCATAGGACTGTTCAGGTATTTTTTTCTTTTTCAATCAGTGTGGTAATTTACACATTCAAGTTTCATGTGCATGATAAAGCTTGAGGAACACTATCTCAGAACATCACTCCTATCATATACAAAATTATATGCTACTTTTGTCTAATATTTCAGTTTGCTACTTTTACCACCACAATTTCGACATTACGACCATGCTTTCACACAGACAATATTATTTAGATTTTCTTTGCTCATGATCCTTTCTGCATCTCAGAAACTCTCCTGAGATCACTTTTCTTCTCCCTATAGCTATATCTTTTAGAAAAAGTTTTAATAAGGACCTACTGGTAAAAAACACACCCAGCTTTTGTATATCTGAAAATGTCTATTTTGCTCTCACTTCTGGAAAAGTTTTGCTGGGTATATAATTCTAAATTGACAGTTATTTTGTCTGGGCATTTAGCAGATATTCTTCCACTCTCCTATGGGTTTCATGGTCACTGTTGGAAATGTCATTAATCTAATTATTGCTCCTTCATAAATAAGTCTTCTCCCTGGCTACCTTTAGGGTATCTGTCTCTGGTGTTCATCAGTTTCTCTATGATGTATCTATATAAGAACTTCTTTAGCCCTGGCTAGTAGCTCAGTTGGTTGGAGCATCATCCCGTACACCAAAAGGTTGTGGTTCAATTCCCAGTCAGGGCATAAACCTAGATTTCGGATTTGATCCCTGGTTGGGGCACATATGGGATGCAGCCAATGGATGTTTCTCATATCAATTGTTTCTCTCTCTCTTCCTCTCTCTCCCTAAAATCAATAAAAACATACCCTTGGGTGAGAATTTAAAAAAATAATTTATTTATACTTGTCTGCTTGTGATTTGCTCTGTTTCCTAAACCTGCAAATTCATATGTTCAATCAATCTTAGTAAATTTTCAGCTATTGTCTATCTTATCTTAATCTCTTTTATAGATGCCATCTCTTTTTTCTCCATTCTATGTTCTGCATACTTTCCTCAAATTCATCTCCCAATTTGCTCTTTCTCTCTTGAACTATATCTCAGTTGCTAGTAAAACACCTACTAAATGTATAATTTGAATTGTTTTTTCACTCTGGAAGCTCTATTGGTTCTTTTTCATATCTGTCTGGTCATTTTTTTAGCATGCCTTGTTCCTTAATATTACTGTCAAATCTCGAATTTTAAAACCATATAAACATGTATATCGTATTTCACATCTAATAATTCCAATAGTCCCTGTGGGTCTAATTCTGCTTATTGTTTCCACTTCTTTCACTCAGGATGCCCTGCTTCTTCTTCACAGTAAGAACATGTTTGTAAGACTTTCTTTGGTACTTCTTGAAGCTAAACTTTAGTGGGGAAGAAAAATGGTCTGTCCCCTAAGGTTCTCTCTCCCCTTCCAGGGAAAGAGACAACAGGCCTGCTAAGGATGGAAAAAGAGAGGTAAAGGCCTGCTTTTCACTTCCACCTGAAGGAAGGAAAAATGAAGTGGTAAGTTCTCCCAGCAGAGCAGCACATTCCAGGGGGAGGGCTAAAGAGACACTGCAGTTCTGACAAGCTACTTGGCGCAGTGGCGGGGGAGGGGGGGGGGGGCTGGGACCATGCAAAATGAAAAAGTGGGGTGGTTTGTTCGTGAATTATCTAGAATTTTAGAACAGTGAAAGCAGAGCATTAAACCAAACGTGGGGCTCTTCTAAATGTAGGGATCTCAGACACCTATGAGGCCCTGACTCTTAAGCAGTAAAAACAGCAGTAGTAAGAATTCAGAAGACACAGAAAGTATAAAGCAGAAAATCAGTATCAATTAAAATCCCACCATCCAGGGATGACCACTGTTATTAGTCTGTATACCAAAGATTTTTTTTTTACATACGTACACACACGTAGATATTGATATACATAATTTTTTAATATTATGGAAATGGTATATTGTACATTCTCTTCTGTTGCCTTTTTTTGTAACTTACTACATTATAGCAGCTTTTAAAAATGTTAGTAAATACATATCTTTCAATCTTATTGTACTAATTATAGGACATATAGATCCATGTTCCATTTAACCAAACTCATATTGTTAGATTTCTAAAGGGTCTTGAGCTTTTCATTATTCAAAATGATGATCACTGAATAACAATAAAATTGAGGATTGAATGAGCCAATCAGTATAAAGCACTTAATGGAGTACTTGGCAAGTAACAAGTTCTCTATAAATGTTAGTGATTTCTTTAATACTGTCTCCTATGTAAACACTGAATTAATTTACATTCCCAACAGCAGGGATTGATTTTTCTAAATCCTTGCTAATTCTTTCAAATTCTGCCTCTTGTATTTCTTCTGTGAATCATTTGTTCAGGTTGTTTGACAGTTCTGTTGAATTCCTTATGCTTTTTAAATTTCAGCTGATTTCTATACTGAAAATATCAATCCTTTGTCATAGGAATAACAAGTACTTTTTTTTTTTTCCAAAAAGAATTAACTCAAGACTTACCTCCAGTTCCTAGGACTTTCAGGAGCTCAAAATTTTCAATCCCCACCTTCTCTGCATGTCCTGTTAAATTTGCTAAAAAAACAAAGAGAAAAAAGAAACAATTAAAGGGATCAGCAACAGGAGGAGGCCCCACAGGGGCTTCTGAGACACCAGCAATGTTTTATTTCTTGACTTGAGTGGTTAAACCTGTGTTCACTTTATAATTGACTAGAGGCCCAGTGCACGAAAATTCATGCACTGGGGGAGGGGGGTGGGTGGGGTCCCTCAGCCCGGCCTGCGCCCTCTCGCAGTCCGGGGGCCCTTGAGGGATGTCCAACCGATGGCAGTCAGAAATCCTTAGCACTGCCACAGAGGCAGGAAAGGCTCCCGACACCACCGCTGCACTCGCTCGCCAGCCATGAGCCCAGCTTCTGGCTGAGTGGCCCTCCCCCTGTGGGAGCGCAGTGACTACCAGGGGGCAGCTCCTGTGTTGAGCGTCTGTCCCCTGGTGGTCAGTGCACGTCATAGCGACCAGTCGTTCTGCCGTTCGGTCAATTTGCGTATTACCCTTTTACTATATAGGATTTTTAAAGTGCACAGCTATGTTTTCTGTAATTTTCTGTATACTATACATTACAATAAAACCTTTTTTGTTGTTAATTCTCACCCAAGGATATTTTTTCCATTTATTTTTAGACAGAGTGGAATGGAGGGAGGGAGGGAGGGAAGGAGGGAAAGAGAAAGAGATATAGAGAGAGTGTGTGTGTGTGTGTGTGTGTGTGCGTGTGTGTGTGAGAGAAACATCAATATGTTGTTCCACTTATTTATGGGTTGAGAGAAACATCAATATGTTGTTCCACTTATTTATGGGTTCATTGGTTGATTCTTCTACGTGCCTTGACCAGAGAATGAATCCACAACCTTGGTGTATCGGGATGATACTCTAACCAACTAAGCTACCCGGCCAGGGCTTATTATTTGTTTTAAGTTACCTTTTCTGTTGTTTGTTTCCATGTAATTACTTTCGTGACTTTAAAAAAGAATCATCTGAATGCTTTTTAGAATTTCATTTGTTTTCACACTGGCATTTTAGCTCTACCACTTTGATTAGTGTAGTTGTTGCTCTAAGGATTATAACTTATGTTTCTAACTATTCACAGTCCTCTTATAGTTAGTACTGTACCATTTTACTTAAAATATAGAAGCCTCACAATCATCCTTTATGGAATAGTTGTTATCCTATATAATAAAATTCTAATATGCAAATCGACCAAACGGCGGAACGACCGGTTGCTATGAAACACACTGACCAACAGGGGGCAGACGCTCAATGCAGGAGCTGCCCCCTGGTGGTCAGTGTGCTCCCATAGGGGGAGCACTGCTCAGCCAGAAGCCGGGCTCACAGTTGGCAAGCACAACAGTAGTGGCGGGAGCCTCTCCCGCCACCGCCGCAGGCAGGTGGTAAGGAGCGAGGGGTCCCGGATTGCGAGAGCCCGGGACTGCTAGAGGAATGTCTGACTGCTGGCCCTGAGGGATCGGGCCTAATCAGAGGCAGACATCCCCCAAGGGATCCCAGACTGTGAGAGGGCGCAGGCCAGGCTGAGGAACCCCCCCACCCTCTAATGCACGAATTTCATGCACCAGGTCTCTAGTATATTATATGGGATGATAACGTATTTTTATATGTACACATTGCACAAGACAATGTCAAGTTTTGCTTATATGATACAATTTATAAAGAAATTAAGAGGAAAGATTGAGACTTTTGCATTTCTGCAGATATTTATCATTTTCTGGTGATCTTTTTCTTCTAAGAATCCAAAATTCCATCTGGTATCACTCTTCCTCAACCTTGAACTTCTTTTGACATTTCTTGCAGTGTAGAAATGTCTGAGTTTTCTTTTATGTGAAAAAATTTTCTTGTCCTTCATTTAAAAAAAAATTGAGATATAATTCACATACTATTAAATTCATCCTTTTAAGGTATATAAGCCAGTTTCTTTTTTCTTTTTTCAGTATATTCATAAGGTTGTGCCATCATCACCACTATCTAATTCTGGAATCATCTTGATACTTGAAGGATATTTCCTTTTAATATAGAATTCTGAATTGATAGGCTTTTTTCTTTCCTTCCAGCACTTTACATAAACTAGTTCTTCCATTTACTTTTGGCCTCCATAGTTGCTGAGGTGAAATCATTCATTAAATGGGTCCTTGCTTCTCTGTTTGAAATGTGTCTTTTCTCTTACTGCTTCCAACCTTTGCTCTTTATCTTTGGCTTTCAACAGTTTTGCCATAATGTGACTTGATGCAAACTTCTTTGGGTTCATTGAGTCTTATATTTATTGAGTATTATTATATCTGTACATTTCTGGTTTTCATCAAACTCGGGGAATGTTCAAAATTTGTTTTCTATCGCATTCTCTCTCTCCTCTCCTTCTGAGGTTCCAATTACATATGTTGGACTGTTTGATATTACCTAAGAGGTCCCTGGGACTCTATATTCATTCCCCTCCCCCCAATATATTTTCTCTGTTCTTCACATTAATTTATATTGTTCTGTCTTTAAGTTCAGTTACTTTTCCTTCTGAACTGTTAAATCCATGCAGTGAATTTTTAATTTCAAATATTGCATTTTTCATTTCTAAAACTTACATTTGATTCTTTTTTTTCATTGTTTCTATTTATCTGATTTTTTCATTCACTGAGAGCATGTTGTTTTACTTCATTGAAGATATTGTAATAGCTGCTTTAAAATTCTTGTCTCTTATTGCCAGTACCTCATTCATTTCAGGGTAGGACTCAGTTGATTTTCTTTCTTCTTGGGATATGTTCCATTTTCTTAATTCTTCATATATAGGGTAATTTTGGATTGTACCCTTAACATTATAAATGTTTATTTGTGAAGACTCTAGATTATTATTTTTTCTCCAATGATAGCTGGGTTTTTTGTTCGTTTGTTTTAGCAGGCAAATACCTTGCTTTGGGTCCTGTTTCTTAGGACGCAGCTTTAGCCAGGTACAGATTTTTTTTTGTCTTTAGATGGGCTGTTCTGAGTCTTTGTATCCATGCTTAATTCAGAAGTCATTCACAGATGTGTATACACAAAATTTGAGAACTCTCCCTTCTCTAGCTCTTCTCCTTCTGGGATTCCTCCACTATCTTCGGTGGTCAAGGTTGACTGGTTTCAGTTTTCTAGTTTCCCTGGCCAGAGAGACTATTGTTTTTCCACCAGAATCCCCACAGTTATGGACTGTACTTAGCTTGAAGCTAAAAGTGAAAAGGCAAAATTATTTCCTATAGCTCCCTTCCTCCACCTATCTGCTTCTGTTTCCTCTCAAGTGCCTTAAATAGTTGCTTTTTGTATTAAATCCAGATTTTATAGTTTGGTTGTGTGTGTGTGTGTGTGTGTGTGTGTGTGTGGTGTTTTTTTGTTTGCTTTTTTTTTTGCAAATAAGTTCTCTGGTAAGGGGTTTTATTCTGACATAAGAAGCAAAAGTCTGCTTACAATCAACAATAGTAGTTTCTACTTTAACTTCAACTACTGCAATAGCAATTTAACTTCAAAGAGTAAAATAAAATTGAAAAGGTGTATGGATATAGGCCCATCTTAGGGATCTTGAACTTGATATCCATACGATTATTTCTTTTACATTACATCTGTGAGGCAAGGGGAGGTGCTCACACATCTATAATAATAAAGCGTAATATGCTAATTAGACTGGCTGTCCGACTGGACGTCCTTCCGGACGAACTTCCAGA